GTAAGGCTGGCTCAGAATATAAAAATAAGTCAACATTATACACCTCACCAACAGAATGAAGAGACAGGAAAGAATACACATGTGATCATCTCAATTGATACAGAAGTGTTGGATAAGACTCAACATCCTCCCATAAAAATACTCGACAAACTAGGACCAGAAAAGGAGACTTCAACACCTTAAAATCTCCAAGAAGCTCACTGACATTATAAAATACTAAAACTAATATAGTAGTAAAATACTAAAACTTTCTTCTAAGATCAGGAACAAGAAAAAGATGCCTGCCTTTTCCTGATCCATTAGCATAGTATTTGTTGGAAGTTCTAGTCAAAGCGGTTGGCCAGGAGAAATAAAAGGTATTTATCTTCATTAGGGTTACTCTTGCTGCGATGAATCACCATAACCAAAAGCGACTTGGGAATGAAAGGGTTTATTTGGTTTATACTTACATATCACAGTTCATCATTGAAGAAATCAGGGCCGGCAATCAAGCAAGGCAGGAACCTGGAGGCAGGAGATGATGCAGAGGCTATGGAAGAAGCTGTTTCCTAGCTTCTTCCTCATGACTTGCTCAGCCTGCTTTCTCATAGCATCTGGAGATGGCCCCACCCACAAAGACTGGGCCCGCCCACATCAGTCACTAATTGTGAAATGCCCTACAGGCTTGCCTACAGCCTGATCTTAGGGAAGTGTTTTCTCAGTTGAGGTTCCTTCCTCTCAGATGACTCTAGCTTGTGTCAAGTTGATATAATACTAGTTGGCACAGGTTCCCAGTGGGAAAAGATGAAGGAAGATTACCTGTTAGCAGGTGACATGCTCTTAGGAGCCTACCAAAATACAGAGAAACATGTTATATCTAATAAATGAGAGCAAGTTACAAAATTGGCACTCAGCTGTGTCTCTTTAAACTAACAATGCATAGTCTGATTTTATAAGGAATTTTTTTTTTTTTTTTTTTTTTGGTTTTTCGAGACAGGGTTTCTCTGTGTAGCTTTGCGCCTTTCCTGGAACTCGCATTGGAGACCAGGCTGGCCTCGAACTCACAGAGATCCGCCGGCCTCTGCCTCCCGAGTGCTGGGATTAAAGGTGTGCGCCACCACCGCCCGGCGCATTTTCATTTATAATAGGCTTAAAAATAGTTCAAAGTAAAATTACTTTGAACTAAAGATTTAGTCACCAGAAACCATAAAATACTGGCAAAGATGTAAAGACACAAAAATGGAAAGACATCCTATATACATGAATAAAATATTGACATCTTAATATTTTTAGAAAGTCATTACTATCCAAAGATATCCACAAACCACTGATGCTTTTTTTTTTTTTCAGAAATCCAAAAAAAAAAAAAAAATCCATCTGACAACTTCTGTGATATCCCTGGGGACCCTCAGTAGCCAAAATGACTTCAAATGAGAATAACAGATTCAGGAGGTGGTCTCATAATTTGTGATTCCAAAAAATACTACAAAGCCAACAGTAATTAAAACAGTGTGATATTAGCGTACAGGATGATGATATATGTATCAATGGAATAGATTAGACAGCTCTGAAATAAACCTTTCCAAAGATGGTCAAAAGATTGTCAACATGGATGCCAAACACTCAATTAAAAAACGGACTTTTCAAAACTGATGGGGGCTGGATCTCCCCATGCAAAAGAACAGTAATGGACCCTAATCTTACAGCACATCTAAAAATTAAAATGGACTTAAATTTTTAAAAATTTATTTATTTTATATCCTAATCACAGTTTCCCCTCCTTCTTATCCCCTATCCCTCCCTAACACTTCCTTTTTGCTCACCCCCATCCTCTCCTTCATTTCTATTCAGAAAAGGGCAGGCCTCCCATGGATATCAGCAAAATATGGCATATTAAATTGCAGTAAGACTAAGCACCTCCCCTTATATTAAAGCTGGGCAAAATAGTCAAAGACAGCCCCAGCTCCCACTGTTAGGAGTCCCACAAGAAGACCAAGCTATACAACTGTCACATATAGGCAGAGGGCCTAGGTCAGTCCCATGCAGGCTCCCTGGTTGGTGGTTCAGTCTCTGTGAGCTCCTATGAGCCCAGGTTAGCTGATTCTGTGGGCTTTCTTGTGATGTTCTGACTCCTAATAATCCTTCCTCCCTCTCATTGACAAGATTCCTGTGACCAGAAGCAACTTAAGGACGAGAATTTTAGCTTCTAGTTCTAGAGGGACCGTCTATAATGCTGGGGAAGGCATGGCATGGTGTCAAGAGCAGGAAGCTGGTGGATCACATTTTATCTGCACACAGGAAACAGAGAGAAAGGACAGGAAGTTGAGTGAGGTTTTAACCCCTCAGAGTCTACCTCAAGTAACATAACTTCTCCAGCAAGGCTCTACCTCTTAAACTGGCCCATAACCTCCCCAAACAGTACCACCTATTGGGGACCATGCATTCAAATGCATGGGTCTATGAAAGACATTTTTCATTCAAACTATAGCATAGCCCATATCTGTAGGAGGTGCGGTCTGTCTCACATGCATATACATATGTGTTATTGGCCTTTTATTGACATAAATTGAGGAACATTGTTACAGGAAAGCCTCTCACTTAGCATGTTTATAACTGTCTAGGCTCTTCCCCACACAGAGCCCTGCAGACCTGAAAGAAAAATATTCTCCTCCTACTCCGATGATCAAAGATGAGGAACTATCCAAGTAATGTGCTCATTCACAGTGAAGATTTGATTGTAGAAAAAAAAAATCCAAGAAAAAACGAAAGCCCATCATCAGCATAAACGTCGCAAGGCCATTTGGAATCAACCTTATCCACTGTTCCCTTGTCAGCAGGAACATTGCATATTCCACATTGAGGTTTGTGACTCTGGATGTCCTTAGTGGGCAGCTAATTGACAGGCTGAGCTAATGTGTTAATATAAGGCTTCAAAAGTGCATGAAGGAATAGGATGCCTAAAATGAGGAGACGCCATTGAGTTCCCCATGTTAGACAGGCCTTATCTCCAGAGATAAAGGGGGCCATGGTTGCAGAGGGTAAGGCAGGGTGAAGAGAGGAAAAAGTCTAGACAAGATTCTGAGGGCTTAGCCGTCTATCAGGATGAGATTAGACACCCACTGAGGTGCACAGAGTGGTAGCACCAGGGAGTGACCACACTATGTAATCCCAGTGCAGAATTTCCAGCAGCACCTGAAAGGTGTGACAGGTCAGGGAAAGTGCATTGTTCCTTGATCTGTCAATTTTGAGGGAAATGAAGCCACTAAGAATAATCATTGCCGTTGAGATAACATGCACCCCTAGTTCCTGGGTTCGGGATGGTACAGTTAAGTGACTGGAGCTGGACACCAGGGGCTGTGGGAGAGAAGAGTGGTGACCGATGGCAGGATGGCGAGAGGGTCTCAGAATACTGGTAGACTTGCTTTCTGGAGTCTGGTGCTAGTCATCAGTTGGTCAGCAAGCAGGAGTGTGAGAGGGGATGCCACCACTCTGCTGTACTGGGGAGGGGATCAGTCATGCCATTTGATTGAAGTTTGGTCCTTCATCTGTGGCCAGGCACAGGCTGTAATGGTTCATTACATAATTTTATAGTCAGACCCTTATGCCTACACTTCCTCTGAGCAGCTAGGGCAGCTGATATTTTTGCTACTGAGTCCATGATTCCTTGTGAGTATCTTAGGAACGGGTTGTATGTATTGTACAAAACAACGTGTTTAGCAGCGAAGTGAGTATTTCTATTAGAATGCCAGCCACAGTGTGGGTTTACACCTGAGGGCCTGGGTATTTCACTGTGGACTATGCAGTTTGGGGAAAATCAGTCCTTCCAGAGCTCAAATAGTACATATTTCCAGAAGTTCACAAGTGTAGGTATCTTCTTCCTCAAAAGATCTTACTAACAATGCTAATGGCCAGAAGACCCCTGGAAATAGTCAATAATCTGAGCTCAAAAGGCCTATCACTGTGGAGTGCTTGTAAACAAGTTTATGGTACAGAGGAATGACTGCCCAATCATGGAGTTATTCGCCTGTCACCTTGATAGTCTAGCCAGACCGTTTTTGAATTTTTCATTTATGAGCCAGGCAGGTGCATGTCTTTAATCTCAGCACTCAGGAGACAGAGGCAGGTGGAGCTCTGTGAGTTCAAGGCCAGCCTGGTTTACAGAGCAAGTTCTGGGACAGCCAGGAATGTTACACAGAGAAACCCTGTCTAGAAAAACAAAAGGAAAAATTTTTTCATCTATGTATGTATGTTTATATGTATGTATGCATATTTGTGTGTCCTGTTGCATGTGTGGAGGTCAGAGAATAACGTTCAGGAGTCACCTCTCTTTTGCTACCATTATGACACCAGGGACCAGACTCAGGTCCTTGAGGCTTGACAGAAAATGCTGTGCTAACTCGCTGGTCCTTGCCAAACATTTCTTGAAAAGACAGCTCCTAGTTATCAGATTATATCTGTGAATATTCAGGCTGAAGGATAAACTCAACAGAAGGCTTCGGAAGGTCATCCAGGCTTTGGAAATTGTAATTAACGTTGAGAGCTGACCTGCACGTGGGTAGTGTCTCTGTGGCAGCCATAGACTTCAGGCTGTGGTGATGAGGAGGATGGTGGCACTCTTGGTCCTGGAAGGCCGTGGTGATGCATTCTTTTGGGGAGGCCTTTCAGGCCTTTTTCTAGCCCAGGTACTCTTTAAGTGTTGACACCGACTGAGTATAGTTCGATGGTCATTTGAAGCGCATGGTTATATGAACCAGTACTTGACTTCCAATTCATTATGTCTTAAGAGCTAAGCTTTCTCGTTTTTCTGTTGGGTCAAAACCTTCCACTTAGATGTGAGGCATGCAAGGGGGTCAGCTCTTTCCTCTCCCATGCTTTAGACAAGTCAGCCATTGTCCTAAGAGAAAAGTGATTCTTGTTTCAAACACTTGGGTTTAAGTTTTTTTGGGGGCTACTGCTGCTGTTCTGTGAGATAAATGATTTTCTTATCTCTTGTTCCTCACTTTTCTCCTCCCCACCTCCAGGAAGGGTCCCTGTGGCCTTCTGACAGCTCCGTGCAGCGGCCAGGGGCTTCAGAGGTAAGGTGGAGGCTGTGGGAGAAGCCATGGCCACAGTCTTGAATTTGAAATCAATTTTAGATTGAAGTCATTGTTTGCTTAAAAGGGGCAAGAAGGGATTCCCCCTTAGAATCATGTGTCAGAGCTCTATACAGAGAATAGGTTAAAATTGCTGATCATTAGATTATCTTAGAGCTACCAACTGGACTTTGCAAGTGTAGGCATAGTTTGTACATATCAAAAAGCATGGATTCTATTCCCATGTCTAATTTAATAATACAAAAATTTTGAGGCAGGGTCTCAGCATGTAGCCCTGGTTGGTCTGGAACTTGCTATGTGGATCAAGCCAGTCTTGACTCAGAGATCCACCAGCTTCTGCCTCCCAAGCTGGGGTTAAAGGCATGTCCCATAATGCTCATTGGTTATCTGAATTTTTAAAGTATTTCTGTATAAATGTAAAAGTAACAAAACATATGTACAAAGATCATGAAACGATGAAATTTGTGGAGCCCAATGTAGGTATTGGCAGTCAAACTAAACCAGAGCTCTCTCAGAGCTTCTCAATACGCACCTGTAGAAAAATAAAGAAGTCACGGTGGTCCCCCTTTCTGTCTGGCCTCCAGTACTCCATGGCCTACACAGAATTCATGTCAGACTTTCTTTTTTTTTTTTTTTTTTTTTTTTGGTTTTTCGAGACAGGGTTTCTCTGTGTAGCTTTGCGCCTTTCCTGGAACTCACTTGGTAGTCCAGGCTGGCCTCGAACTCACAGAGATCCGCCTGGCTCTGCCTCCCGAGTGCTGGGATTAAAGGCGTGCGCCACCACCGCCCGGCCAGACTTTCTTAATGCACACACATGCTTGTAACACTTGTCTTCCAGAAGGTAATTGGGATAAAGGGAGATTTATTTCTATAGTGAACTTTTACATTAGCATTCGAAGTAATGGGCTTTGTTATATCATTTCCGTACATCATGTGTCATGCTTGTTCACTTTTGGTTACCTCCCGACTGCCTTCTGTTCCTCTCCTCTCTGACTGGTTCCCATCCTTCCCCCAGTAGCCTCCTGTATTCTTATCACATATATTTTACACTCTCTATCTCATGTCCATTAAGATTTCTCTACCCCCTCATGTTCCCTTTATAGCTTCATAGCTCCTCTCCCTCTATGCCCTCCCCCATTTTAAACTAGGTTCTTCATATAAGAAAAAAAAAACAGCATTTCTAAGTTTGATTTATTTTACCTAACAATGATTCCCAGTTCCATCCATTTTCCTGAAAATATCACAATTTCATTTTCCTGTATATCTTCACAAAACTCCATTGTGTGTATGTTCAACTTTTTTTTTATACCCATTTGTCTGTTGATTGATATCAAGGTGGTTCCATTCCCTAGATATTGTAAATAAGATAGCAATACATATGGATGTGCAGGTATTTCTTGGGTGTGTTTACTTAACGTACTTGGTACATATTTGTAAGAGTAGGGGTAGCTGGGGAATTTTGTAGTTCTGTGTCTTCCATACCATGTCCGCAAGTCCTGTCTAGCAGGCCTTAAGTTCAATCAGAAAGTAGTCAGCTATCCCCATGACATCCAGGCCACTATTGTGCCAGTGGGCATACCTTGTCAAACCACTTACTTGCTCTTGTAGCTCTCAGGGTTCCCAGGTGGGTAAGATGGAATCTCAAAGGAGTTCGCATTTTCCCGATGGCTAAGGATGCTGAACATTTTTAACACGCCTCTCAGCTGTTTGCCTTTCTTCTTTTGAGAACTGTATTTAGTTCCGTGCCCCGGTTTTCATTGGGTTGTGTGTTTCAACACTGTCAGATGTATAGCTGGTAAATAGTTTCTCCCCATTCTGTAAGCTGCCTCTCCAATGGTGGTGCCCTTTGCTGTGCAGGTTTTTAGTTTCATTCGTCAGTTGTTGTCTCAATGTCTACATTACTGGGGTCCTTCCAGAAAATTCTTTCCTGTGACTATAATTTGAAACATAGTTTCTACTCTGTTCACTAGCAGTTTCAGGGTATCCAGCGTTAGGCTGAGGTCCTTGATCCATCTGGAGTTGAGTTTTGTGCAGGATGAATACGCGTCTGCTTCCATCCTTCATGTAGTTGTCCAGTTTCATCAGCACCATTTGTTGAAGACACTGTCTTTTCCACAGTGTGTACGGACAGTCTCGTTGTCAAAAATTGGGTGGGTGGCTGTGGGAGTGCAGGCTTGATCTGGGCCTTCAGTCTGTCTCATTGATGAATATGTCTGTTTTTATGTCGGCACCATACTGTTTTCATTACTGTAGCTTTGTAGTATACCTTGATATCTGGGTGGTGGTACCTCTGCTATCCGTGTCTTCAAGCACTCATATTCTCTTTTCCACTTGATCACTCTGTTGGCAAGGCTTTCCGTGGAGTTTCTTACTTGGCTTATTGAACTTTTCATTTCACATTTGATTTCAGTTGGGCCTTTAGAAATGCTCTTTACTAAATTGTATTTTCATATCTTGAAGTTTTTCTTTGTGTCAGTCGATTGTTTGTGTTTTGTGGTCTTTATTCTGGCATTTATGCATATCCTCATTGAGTCAGTCTTGGACATGTTTGTAGTTAATATTTTGAAATCATTGAAATTGAAAAATTTGGAGTTGCCTTTCCAAGGGAACATAACTATGGGAGTACTGGGTTTTGAAGGAGACACACTCTCTTGTTTATTTCTGTTATTTGTGCTTTGCGATGGGCTCTAGGCACCTAAAGTTAGGTCGTGTTTTTCTTGGGATGTTTTTGTTGTTTGTGGTTTTTGTTTTTTTTTGGGGGGGGAGGTATGGATACCTGTCCTACTTTTATTGAGTAGACATTTGGATTTCTGTTTGCTATTACCCCAAATTGTCAGGTTATGGACCAGGTGAACGGTGTTTGAGTTCAGTCTTGGAGCCACTAGGTAGTGTTGTATGAATGGGGTCCCAGATCACCTGAGGCCAGGGCTATGGCTTGCTTCTGAGCATGGGAGCTAACCTTCCGTAGAGTTAGAATGTTCTCACTGTAGCAGGTTTCCAAAAATGTGTAGAAGGCTCACTCAGTTCTGCAGGTGGTCCTAGGTAAAGGGTTGGAGTCGCTGTGGTAGTGAGACTTGAGATCCTCAAGGCAGTGGGGGATCCTTACCAAGGGGATGTGCTCAGACACATGCTCCTCAGGCAACAAGGGTGAAATCAGGAATTGAGTCGGGGGTTCTCTACCTGAGGTGTTCAAGGGACCTGGTCTTCAGGTGACAGGGGTGGAGTTGTGGCGGGACTGGGGTCCCTTTCTAGGGTAGATGTTACAGTGCTATTTGAATTTGCATTTTCCTGGTGGCGAAGGAGGTTGAACACTTTCTCAAGTATTTATCATCCATTTGTAGTTCCTCTTTTGAGAAGTGTCCATTCAATAATCCATTTATGGATTAAATGGCTTTCTTGGTGTTTAATTTTTCGAGTTCTTTATAATGTCTAGATATTCCCTGTCTGATGTGGAGCTGGAAAATATTTTCCCCATTCTGTGGTCTGAGTCTTCACTCTGGAACCTGTTTCCTCTGCTGTGTGGAAGCTTTTTAATTTTATGTTGTTATTTCCGTGCCCCCCCCCCATCAATCTCAGGAATTATTTCCTGTGTCGATGGCATTCTTCTAGAAAGCCCTGGCTTATGCCACCATCTATCTCCATGTGTCTTACCTGTGTTTTCCATGAGCGGTTTCACAGTTCAGGTCTTTGACCCATTTTTAAATTGTCTATTGTATAGTACCAGAGGCAGAGATTTTGTCTTGTTCTGCTACATACGGAAATCCAGTTTTCCCAGCATTGTGTGTTAAAGAGGATGTTTTTTCTCCAAGGGGTGTTTTTTACACCTCTGTAGAAAATTAGGTGGCTGTAGACATTAAGTTTATCCTAGGTCCCCTAGTCCATCCCATTGATCTACATGTTTGTATTTGTGCCAGTACATTGCTGGTTTTGTTATGTGGCTCTGTGATATCATTTGATATCTGGAATTAAACTTCTAGCATTATTCTTTCTGCTAATGATTGTTTTGCCTATCTTGGTTCTTTTATGCTTCCATTTTATGAATTTTAGAATTGCTTCTGCTAGTCTATGAAGAATGCCACTGGGATTTTGTGGACATTGTACTGAGTTTGTCGACTGTCAAATTCAATAATGTAGCCGTTTTCACAATATTAAGTCTAGTAGTCCATGGGCAAGCAAGGGCTTCCTATTGTCCAATGTCTTCTGTTTCTTTCTTCATTGCTTTAAAAACTTCATTTTAAGACAGGTATATGTAGTGGCACACACCTTTAATCGCAACACTTGGGAGGCAGAAGCAGGCAGATCTCTGAACTTAAGGCCAGCCTGGTCTACATAGTAAGACCCTTTCAAACACACACACACACACCCCATAACACAAACAACCAACCAATACTTTATTTTAGAAGTCCCCCATCTCCTTGGTTATTCCCACATGTTTTATTTTTATTTTGAAGGTGTTCTGAATGAGATCCCCGCCCCCATATTTCTTTGGGGAATGTTCATTATCGCTGTGCATAGAACCTAACATTTTTTTATGTGGATTTTGTATCCTGCTACTTTGCTGAAAGTATTTGCCGAGTCTTAAAGGTTTCTGTGTGGAGTTTTTATGGTCTCTTATATACAAGATCATGTTGTCTGCAAACAAGAGTAACTTGACTTCCCTTTCTTCCCTGTTTGTATCACTTCTACTTCATTCTCTCATTGTCACTGCTCTAGCTGAGACTTAGGACACTATAGTGAACACAAGTTGAAAAAGTGGACACCTTGGGTTCATTCCAGATTTTAGAGGAAATACTCTCATGTTTTCCCACTAGTATAATGTTGGCGTAGGTTGGTCTTCCCTAGCTTTTACTTTGTTGGTATATGTTCCTTCCACTTCTAGTTTCTTCAGGGTTTTTGCCATGAAGGGATATTGCCCTTGTTACAGGCCTTCTCTGCATCTGTTGGTTGATGATGTAATTCTGTCCTCAAATCTGTTGTGTCCT